CCTTCTTTGTAAGCATGAAGAGGCATCTTGTGTTTTAGTTTACACGATGTCTTCACTAGTGACCAAGCCATACATTTGTTATTGTTTCGGCAAAGTTGCGCACAAGCTGCCGCTGATGAGATGTCTTGTATCACTTTAAAGTTGCCGCCTTTTCGTGCAGTATCTAAAAGTAGAAGTAATTGCCATAAGTGCAGTGAATGTATTTAAGGTTGCTTGTTACAGGTTCTGAATGACCTTAACAGCAATCTTATGGTCAAAATGGTTGGAACTAGCTAGCAGTAAACTAGTGTGAGCTGCGTCGGTGTTTCTAAAGAAACAGTTGTGTAAAAAGATAAATTTAACACCGTAAAAAAGTAGGTGTTACGGTGTTAAATTTATCCCTTTTTAAACAACTGTTACTGCAACAGTATCTTGGGCATAAATTTAATTGCACTTATACTTATTAATATTCATTATATATTTGGTCAGACTTGATACTTCGGGTGTTAATGAATTGCTTTTTGAATAGCCGACTTGCGAATTARGCATCAATAGTCACATACAAAGGAATCAAGACGAGGCGCCGTYCTAAAGACAATAMATTTTTCACAAAAAAGCACGACGCCTCGTCTTGATTCCTTTGTATGTGACTATTGATGCGTAATTCGCAAGTCGGCTATTATAAAACATCAGAGTTTTGTAAGGGATCATCGCATCTATGTGACAAAATTGTGCGACCATCATTGAATTAAAAGGATTATAAAGTGTATAGTTGTATCGATCATATACATACCTGGCTGTTCCCCGAGTGGTAAGTTAAGAAGTAACGATACTTCAGCCCTGTTAGATGTAGGATTACGAATACGCAAAGACAAGACAACAGCCGGCAAAGCCGAGTCCACTGCACTTCTGGCCTTGATTGAACTATAAGCATACACCTCCATTTTTAATCCCGAAAACCCTTCGTCTTCAATGCCAAGTTTTGACACAGGAAAGCTCCCTGAGTATGCAAGACCAGATACACCGGGAAGTCCATGTGGAGGGTGTGTTCTTAGCAAAGATGCCTTTATGCCTTGTAGAGTTTGGACTCTAATAGCCAGAAAAGCCAGATCTAAGGCTCCTCGGCTTAACTTTGCCGATCCTCCTGGTGACTGGTTCTCCAAAGTCCACTCATTAAATGATCCATCTGCTCTTAGTTCGAAAGAACCTAAATTGATAGCATAATGATTTTACAAAAAATGATTAATATTTTCTCTCAGCTTCCCCTATTTTTTGATACATTGCTCGTTTTCAAAAATTCTCATGAGATCCAAAAGACAAAGACTTGCGTGCATGTTGAATGAATGAATATAATAGATACTACTGAGAAATGTTCCGTTGAAGTTCAACCATGCAATTTGACTGCCGCTAACTTATATTACATATGAAAAATTATGGTTTATGCTCGATAACCKTGTGTGTACCTGTACCCAGGCCTCCAAGAGGAACTGCTGACCGCATCCCTAGTGCAGGCTCTTTACCATTGTCTTGATATAAATACGAAAAAGGCGAAAACCGCTTCGTTGCCCACGATGTAGCGACACCTGTGACATTTTCTTTCTCGACGTATTGTGCACACTGCTGAGTAAACGTAAAACGCATGTCCGATGTCACTAATGAAGGGCCGTTACGAAATTGTAGACTATCTAATTGTTTTCCYAGAGATCCACCTGCCGATAAAAAACAAAAGTGTCACGTGATGCTGATTTCTGATTTTTAACGTATCTATTAGAATGTTATATGTTGCTTATTGCAGGTATCATTAATGTGACTCATTAGCTACTACACTAGAACTAATTGAACTGCGTTACATCTGTTCCTATATTAAGAACAGTTCATTGTTCGTACACAACTAGCAAATAAATGAACACAAAATCACAAACAATAACAGAAAGTAGCTAAAAATCAAAACCAAATCATAAACAACAACATAAAGTAGCTAAAAATCAAAACAGGCGAGGAGGCAAACCAGTTGGCTATATTACAAGCATGGCCGAGAAACTTATTTTAACTAATCGAAATCGGAACAAATTCAGTCTCAGCTAGTGGCCAGAGCGGGAATCGAACCAGTGACCGACAGTTTACGAGACTGACCAGGGCTCTGTTGTCACAAAGGATTGATTGAAGCAACATTTACCACGAAGAGCCATCAAAATACTAACAATATGATGTCTTGATAGGTGAGCGTTTACCTGTGCGTGGATACTMTATGATGACACCATGTAGATCATTATCTTTGAGATTGCCTGGCCGGTATTTACAGAAACCTTGATTAGAAGTACCATCACACTGAACGTGCATGCAAACATGCTGATTATGCACTACTTGACTGCAATACGGCAATCTACAGCATGACATAAAGCAAGATTCCCAGTTTGACATCATGAAAGCTTTACTGTTTGTTTTGAACTCCGTTTTCTCCATGTTTTTATGGTATATCAGAGTTGAGATCGAGTACGTTTTGTAACACTCTTTTAACATCTTCGAGTAACCTGTGAAATTATAGACACGGCTCAGTATTCGAGTAGTAAATCGGGTTTTGATATCATTTATTATTACTTTTAGGAAACATAACTAAAAAGATGTTTCAAGACAAATACGAGTTCACGTCTCGATCTATTATCATTGCAGAATGATTAGCTGAAGAGTGTGGCCAGTTCATGTCTCTATTTCTGTTCTTATTTTAAGCTCAGANTATGATGACACCATGTAGATCATTATCTTTGAGATTGCCTGGCCGGTATTTACAGAAACCTTGATTAGAAGTACCATCACACTGAACGTGCATGCAAACATGCTGATTATGCACTACTTGACTGCAATACGGCAATCTACAGCATGACATAAAGCAAGATTCCCAGTTTGACATCATGAAAGCTTTACTGTTTGTTTTGAACTCSGTTTTCTCCATGTTTTTATGGTATATCAGAGTTGAGATCGAGTACGTTTTGTAACACTCTTTTAACATCTTCGAGTAACCTGTGAAATTATAGACACGGCTCAGTATTCGAGTAGTGAATCGGGTTTTAACATCTTTTATTATTACTTTTAGGAAACATAACTAAAAAGATGTTTCAAGACAAATACGAGTTCACGTCTGGATCTATTATCATTGCAGAATGATTAGCTGAAGAGTGTGGCCAGTTCATGTCTCTATTTCTGTTCTTATTTTAAGCTCAGAGTTTTAAACACTACTCGACAGCCAAACCATTTTTTTGTTGTTGTTGTTGTTTTCAACCATTTAGAATTCATCTAGTGAAAATAGCGTAAAAAAATTGCAAAAGAAATTGGTTTTTAAGGTTAATACTTGTAAACTTATAAGTCAAGCAAGACTAATCACACATTGAATATTACGGCTCAATGATCTACATTAGACGTCTTTTACGGATTAATAACCTCTTAATATTCCCACTTTTTTATAGTACTGAAACCTACCCATATACCAGAGCTGTACCAGAACTGCTAAGGAGGCTAAAATGCATTTGTCCATCTCGCTTTATGAATTTAACAGAATGACATAGAATTCAAGAAGWGTAATAGGGTTTTCTGCCTTTCGTCTTGCGTATGTATATCATGTATTGCTTCCATTTCTTCCTTTCGTAAATTCGGCGGCTACTTGCGAGACGATCAACTGCAACAAAGTCTTTGGAATTCCTTGATTTTAACTATAATGTAAATCAATTCAAGTGAGCGAGAAGTCGTCATTGGAGATCGTTTTGTGCAGTGTTTTGACTTGTAGAATCATATTCTCGTTTCGACCACCTGCTTGTTTCTGCTGCGTGTGGTGTCAACAAAACTAGCCAACCGAATACCCCGCCTTCTTTACACTTGATCAAACAAATTGGATTGCTTTAGGGGAAATGAAATGTGATTATGAAATAGCATAATTCAAATGAAGTTTACGTTCTATACAAAAGTAATTCCTTTGCGTTGTKGAGTGCACAAAATAGTGCTAAATGGTGTTGATTAGACAATAATCAAAAAAGGAATTCGAATAATTCAGTAGAGTGATCGCAATTAAACCGTTCAACTGTACAAAATCTAAGTAGTACTAATTTGTACTAAAAATGGACCTGAAGCGAGACGTTATTGAATGCTTCATTTGTATCAATATAATTTGCGTATTTGCATGCCACAATTTACTAAATACAACTAAATAACACCTATTTAGTTCAACAGTTTCACGCTTTAAGTGCGATCACTCAAGGYACAACACTTATCACCATTT